GTATTTCATTTTTTTTGTGGCTATTGTGAATGGAATTGTGGTTTTTATTTGGGTTTCTGTTTGTTTATTATTGGTGTAAATAAATGCAATTGTCTTTGCACATTGGTTTTATATCCTGAGACTTTGCCGAAGGCCTTTAGTGTAAGGAGGTTTTTGACAGATTCTCTTGGGTTTTCAAGGTACACGATCATGTCATCTACAAAGAAAGATAAGTTGACTTCCTCTTTTCCTATTTGGATACCCCTGATTGTCTTCTCTTCTCTGATTGCTCTAATCAGGACTTCCAATACTATATTGAACAGGAGGGGTGAGAGTGGGCATCCTTGTCTTGTTCCAGTTTTCAGGGGAAATGGTTCCAATTTTTGTTCATTTAGGAGTATGCTGACTGTGGGTTTCTCGTAGATGGCTTTTACTACTTTGAGGTATGTTCCCTGTATGCCTAGATGTTCGAGGCTTTTTATCAAGAAGGGGTGCTGGATTTTATCAAAAGTTTTTCTGCATCTAATGATATAATCATGTGGTTTTTGTTTTGACATCTGTTGATGTTTTTAATTACATTTTTTACAAGATTTTTATTTTAAACAGATATTGTCGGCATGTGCTTTGTGAAACAGTTCGAGCTGCCAAACTGACCCCAGTTTCTGCCCGGCTTCAAGATATTGAAGGAAAAATTGACCAATTTATTATTCCCAGAGAGGTAGGAGTTATTTGATATAGTTAACTCATTCGGTTATTCTTCTCAACTCTTGTGGTGTGTATTTTAAAATTTTATTGTTTAAAGTGCTCAATAATACTACCTATTAACAAAATTAAGGACACAATTCTTTTAATTAAAATATAATTACAGCTGAGTGTTGTGGCTCACGCCTATAATCCAGCACTTTGGGAGGCCAAGGGGAGAGGATTGCCTGAGCCCTCAGGTTTGAGTCCAGCCTGGGCAACTTGTTGAGACCTCATCTCTACAATAAACATTAAAAAATTAGCTGGGCATGGTGGTGCATGCTTGTGGTTCCAGCTGCTTGGCGGGCTGAGGCAGAAGGATTGCTTGAGCCCAGCAGGTCAAGGCTGTGGTGTCTATGAGCATGCCACTACACTCCAGCCTGGGCAACAAATACATATATAAATATATGACCAATTTTTATATATATGTTTCATATACATAAAATTATATGCTTGTTTTAAAGTTCAAACCATATAAAAGTCTTTCTTTCCCACAGGTACTACTGTTAGCAGTTTAGTATGTATTTTTTCCACCCAGTTTATGTATATGTTTGTTACTTTCTGTGTGTGTCTATGTGTGTAGGTATGCATACACACACACATATTTATGATTTTTTTTTTTAGTTGGGGTCTCTGTCACCCAGACTGGAGTGCAGTGGCACGCTCACGGCTACTACAGCCTCAGTCTGCTGGGCTCAGGTGATCCTTCTGCCACAGCCTTCCAAGTAACTAGAACTATAGGCGCACACCACCATGCCCAGCTAATTTTTTGATTAGGTCTTGCCAAGTTGCCCAGGCTGGTCTCAAACCCCTAAGCTCAGGCAATTCTCTCACCTCTACTTCCCAAAGTGCTGGGATTATAGGCATGAGCCACCACGCCCGACCATACATGTATTTTTTTCTTTTTTTTTTAAAGTCAGAGTCTCACTCTTGCCCAGGTTGGAATGTGGTGGCACATTCACAGCCACTGCAACCTCGAACTGTTAGGCTCAGGGATCCTTCCACCTTAGCCTTCCAAGTAGCTGGAACCACAGGCATGTGCCATCATGCCCAGCTAATTTTTTGATTTACTGTAGATATGAAGTCTCCCCATGTTGGCCAGGCTGATCTTGAACCTGTGGGCTCAGGCAGTCCTCTTGCCTCCACCTCCCAAACTTTTGGGATTACAGGCATGAGCCAATGCACCTGGTTCATATATGTATTTTTAAAACAGAATTTATATGTGAAAAGTTACTTTCCCTATACTATTCTTTAATTGTCTTCTTTGTTTGAGTATATCATGGCTTTTAGTACAACTGGTACTGAAACAAATCCAACTCATTATTTTTAATAACTTCATAATATTCCATTATATGTATGTACCATAATTTAAGCAATGTCAACTAATGGAAATTTAGATTGACATTCATTTTTTTAAAATTTGGGGTCTCCACAGGTTCAAGACCAGCCTGGGCAATTTGGTGAGACCTCATCTCTACAATAAATCAGAAAATTAGCCAGGCGTGGTAGAGTGTGCCTGTAGTTCCAGCTACTTGGAAGACTGAGGCGAAATGATCACCTGACCCACGGCCTGCTGTGGTTCCAGCTACTTGGAAGACTGAGGCGAAATGATCACCTGAGCCCAGCAGGTCGAGGCTGCAGTGAGCGTGCCACTACACTCCAGCCTGGGTGACAGAGTGAGACTCTGACTCAAAAAAAAAAAAAAAAATTGGGAGTCTCACTCCATCACCAGGCTGGAGAGCAGTGATACAATCATGGCTCACCATAGTCTCAGCCTCTTGGGCTCAGGTGATCTTCCACCTCAGCTTCCTGAGTAGTTGGGACTACAGGGACTCACCACCATGCCTGACTGATTTTTTTAATGTTTTTTAGAGACAAGGTCTCACTATGTTTCCTAGGCTGGTCTGAAACTCCTGGGATCAAGCAATCCTCTTGCTTCGGCCTCCCAGACTGCTGGGATTACAAACATGAGCCACTGCAGCTGTCCTTAATTTTTTGTTATAACAAATTATATACTTGTACTGGTATTGCATAGTCTCAGAAATAGAATTTTTGGGTTGGAGTCCATGTGTATGTTAAATTTAAATTGTCCTTTAAAATGGAATACTTTTGGCAACAATGTATGAGAATGCTTTTTCTATCCAAGTCTTTCCCACCTCTGAATTTGTCTTTATATTTTGTGAATCTTATGTGAAAAATTATTCCATTTTTTAAATTTGCTTTTCCCTGATCATTGGGAAGATTGAACAACTTTCCATACTTATATTGTTTGTGTTTTTCTTTTGTGGATTATCTCTTTGCCACTTTCACTCTTTCTAGTGATCTTACATGTCTTTTTGTGTTATACAAACTAACTCTTTCATATTTTTTTCCTGTTACTTATCTTTTACTTATGCTTAGGGTGTTGTTGTTGTTGTTGTTGCTTTCAACTGGATGCAGGCTGTAAATTTTCTTACAGTTTAGCCTATTATTTCTTTGACTTAACTATAAGAAATATGACTTAGCTATGGTTTCCGAATTTTGTGGCATGCTGAGAGAGGCCTTCCCTGTTGTAAAATCAGCAGATGATGGCTTGTGTTTTCCTCCATTATTTTCTATTTTGTTTTCATTGTCTATATTAAAAGAACTTTAGGTTGAGCTGACTCTCTGGGAGTCATTTTATCTCTGTCAGCCTTGACTAACTAGATGGATTTGTTTTGCAGACCCTCGTCCTTTACGCCCTTGGTGTGGTACTTCAGGACGCTGACACTTGGCCGTCACCACACAAGTATGAAAGGCCTGTCATTGTCTTTGTGATTGTCAGTTTTTATGTGTTTGATTGTTTTGTGTTCCTTTAAGTTTTGAGGAGAAATCCAATATGTGGCCATGATGCAGCATAAAACCCCTGCCTCCCTGTACATCTTCTGCTCACTGCTTTTGCTCTTTCATGAATCTACTGTCTACTCCTCCTTTCCTCCTTTATGGCCACTTCTACATGAAAAGTAATTTACAAATTTTAAAGAAAATGAAAGCAGGATTCCTCTCTTTTAAAATTCAGAGTTTAGATCTTTTAAAAATATTTATTTTTGAGAAGAATTTTTATGTTCCATGGTAGATGGGTTATTTGTTTTGTTTTTAATATATCCATTTTGCCAGTGACTTTTTACAGAGTGAAATTCTGAATAACAAAACATCTTTCTTAGCCCCTTCATTTCCCTTCTCAGTAAATCTGGATGTCACCTGGGTGTGGTAGCTCAAGTCTGTAATCCCAGCATTTTGGGAGGTGGAGGCAAAAGGATTGCCTGAGCTCAGGGTTTCAAGACCAGCTTGAGCAACATGCCAAGACCTCATCTCTACAACAAATCAACAAATAAGCCAGGCGTGTTGGCACATGCCCGTGGTTCCAGCTCCTTAGAAGGCTGAAGTGGAAGAATCCCCTAGGCCAAGCAGATTGAGGCTGTGGTGGCCATGAGCAGCATGCCACTGTACTCCAGCCTGGGCGTCAGAGTGAGACTCTGACTCAAAAAAATAAAAATAAAAATAAAAAAATCTGGGTGTAGTATAATGGATTAATATAGTGTTAAAGCTAGGAGCCTCCAGGTTTAAGAAATATATTTTAATTGAAGAGGTAATATAAGATGCCTCACATATAGATAAGATGGTCTCATGTAACAGGTCTTAAATTTATTTAAGTATTTTAAGTATTCATTATGTGATTTTGTATGATTTATCCTTTTATTTCATTAAATAATACAAACCTTGGTAGCATGCACCGGTAGTTCCAGCTACTTGAAAGACTGAGGTGGAAGTATCACCAGAACCCAGCAGGTTGAAGCTGTGGTGGCCATGAGCATGCCACTGCATTCTAGCCTGGGCGACGGAGTGAGACTCCAACTCAAAAAAAACAAAGAAAGAAAGAAAAATGCAAACCTGTGTGATAGTCTTTCCTTGCTAGTTCTGCAAAATGTATTTTGCATCTATTATTTAAAAATAGTAAAGTAAGAAACAGCAAGAGCCAGGTGTGGCGGCTTATGCCCGTAATCCCAACACTTTGAGAGGCAGAGGCAAAAGGATTGCCTGAGCCCAGGGGTTTGAGACCAGCCTAGGAAACTTGGTGAGACCTTGTCCTTGACAATAAATCAAAAAAATGAGCTGGGCATGGTGCTGTGCACCTGTAGTTCCAGCTACTTAGAAGGCTGAGGCAGAAGGAATCACCTGAGCGTAGCAGATCAAGACTGCAGTGGTTGTGAGAGTGCCACTGCACTCCAGCCTGGGCAAGAAACAGCAAGAGACAAAATATCTGTTTAATAATTTGGAAACCACCGGGCTCGGTGGCTTAGCCTATAATCCCGCACTTTGGGAGGTTGAGGTGAGTGGATTGCCTGAGTCCGTGGGTTCAAGACCCACCTGGGCAACTTGGTGAGACCTCATCTCTATAATAAATCAAAAATCAGCCGGGCGTGGTAGTGCATGCCTGTAGTTCCGGCAACTAGGAAGGCTGAGGCGGAAGGATTGCCGGAGCCCAGCAGGTCCAGGCTGCAGTGGCCGGGAACGGCTACTGCACTCCAGTCTGGGCGACAGAGTGAGACACCAACTCAAAAAATAATAATAATAATAATAATTTGGAAACCTAATAATAGGGGATACTTAAATAAAATGTGATAGCACTTTCTATTTTTGGTAAATTTTATACTTTATTACATATCTGTGTTCTTTTAGTGTTAATATATAAAATGGCAGCGGTGCTATATTGTAATTAACCTCAGATTTTCTTTCTAGGTTTGATCCAGATCGATTTGATGATATATTAGCTATGAAGACTTTTTCCTTGCTTGGATTCTCAGGCACCCAGGAATGCCCAGAGTTGAGGTAAATGGCAGAGAAATTAATGTGAAAGAAAAAGATGCTAGATTATCTTCTTAGAACTCTGATGATCACTGTTGATGAGAATGAACAATCAGTATAAAGTATAATTTTTTTTAGATTGGAAAATATAATTTATTGAGAAAGTAAATTAGAGAGAAAGAGAGAGGAGATTTACCTCCCCAAGGTAGGGCAGGGGGACCAAAGCCAGGAAACATGGTAGCCATAGCTCAAAGTGCCACGTGAACACACCAGAGTTTACCAAAGTAATAGCCTTAAAAGTATAATTTTTAATCATTAGTAAACAATCGACTTTCTTCCTGACTAGGTTTGCGTATATGGTGACCACAGTACTTCTGAGTATATTAGTGAGGAGACTACATCTACTTTCTGTTGACGACCAAGTTATTGAGACAAAGTATGAACTGGTAACATCGTCAAGGGAAGAAGCTTGGATTACTGTCTCAAAGAGATATTAAAATGTTATACATTTTAAATGTTTTACATTTAAAATGTTTTGTTAAATAGATTGGGGAAAATAACCATTTAGAAAATCAATGTTGAATCCTTTTATAAATCAAGTACCTTTTTGTAATATTATCACCTACTAGTACTTTATTATGTAAACTTAGATTTTTATATATCACACTTTCTTAATTCATAATATATGCATACTTATTACACCAATATATTGATAATTTTAATGGTAAGTTTTATCACTTTCTGTGCCATTTTCAAATTCTTGTTCTTAGTTTGATCTCTAAAATGAATGTTCCTGAGGAAAGAAGCTATTTTACACAAGTTGGGAAATCTTGTTTTCTGAATATTCATAAAATAGAAACATAATCCTAAGTCCTTTTTGTACTTCGAATAAGTCACCTTAAAGGGAAATAAAAAGTACTTCCTATAATCTTATTTATTGTGTTAATATTTTCATATGGGTATAGATTAGCATATGTTTAAATCATTTTTATTAGGTTTGAACAATTCATTGGGCAGTGTACCTTGCATTTGCTATATTTTTGTTTCATGGTTTACACATATTTAAGTGAGAAACTCAGATTGAGACTTGTCCTCTTTTGCTGGAAACCTTAGCAGCACTGTATTATTCTACTAATTCTCATTTGTGGAAAAAATAGAATTCCTAAATTTGGTACTTACTATTGTGTCATATGCTAAACCTAATGAACCTGTCATTAAGAAAGAAGAGAGTACTAACCAAAAACCAAAATCATAACCAAAGGGGAAAAGGAAAGATGGGTGAAAATATTTGCAAAACATATGACAGAGAGGGATAATAACCATAATACATATAAAGAGCTCGGGCAAATTGGTAAGAAAAACATATACTATAATAATAAATGGATGAAAGACATGAATAAACAGCTTTTATAGGAGAGCATGACTAATCAATTTTTAAAAATGTGTAGTTTCACTAGTAAGTAAAAAAATTAGGGCTATTTCAAGACTATTTTAAGGATCTCTCAAAATTACATTTCAGCACTTATAAGCTTTATATTTAATACTTTTGATAACATTTTAGTCTAGTTTTTTTTGGCTATACTATTTATGAAGATTCTTTTTCAAAATATATTTTTCTTTAAGACAAGACAACTGAAGGAAGTGTGTCAAGTGCAAATAGAAAGAAAAATGATAATTGTTTGCAAGTGGGCCTATTTTTAACACTGCTGAATTTTATTTGTAATTTTAATGTCAAGAATGTACCCTAGTTATTATTTTATGCTGTTTATCATTAAATAGATGACATTTTAACTGTAGTTATGACCAGTTAACTAATGGGATACAACCTTTTTTTCCTGAACAATTATTTAATATATGAAGTAATTTAATTCTAAAACTTTAAGTAAAATCTATTCTTGGTTACTATCATCATGTTGTTCCTAAAAAGGCTTGTTGCTAACTCTTTCCCTTCACACCTACCATTTTTTCTGATTTTATGTATATAGAGAACCTTTCTTTGTTATCTACATTTCATGAGTGGTTTGGAAACTGGCAATGGAAGGTTAGAGTAGGTGATGGACATATAAACCAAGGGTCACTAAGATCAGATAAGACTGGCGGCTCAGCCTGTAATCCCGCGCCTTTGGGAAGCTGAGGTGAGTGGATTGCCTGAGCCCGCGGGTTCGACACCCGCCTAGGCAGTGAGACCTCATCTCTACAATAATCAAAAAATCAGTCAGACGTGGTAGTGCATGCCTGTAATTCCGGTTACTCGGAAGGATCGCCGGAGCCCAGCAGGTCGAGGCTGCGGTGGCCGGGAGCGGACACTGCACTCCAGTCTGGGCGACTGAGTGAGACTCCAACTCAAAAAATAAAAAATAAAAAATAAAACTGTATTTATTGAGTTCCTACTTTTTGCCTAGTTCAAGTTTAGTAGGATTCATTGCCTGCTCTCAGAAAAAAATAATTATGTTAAGTTATGCCCTGTGCCACTGCACTCCAGTCTGGGCAACAGAGTGAGACTCCAACTTTAAAAAAAAAATTTAAAAAAAAGCACAAAACATTTTTTATCGACTAAAATGGCTCTTTCACACTTTGTGCTAATAAAATTTAAAACAATTCTGTGCATATGTTTGAGAAAAATGAAAAGCTCACATGCAGTTTATCTGGTCCACAAGTATACAGTTTTATGATTTTATATAAATAAATCCTATTTTATTTATAGCCCCATGTCAAAATGTATTTATTTATTTTGTTTATGTTAAAAATAGTTCTTGTTTTAAAAATAAAATCTCCAGCCGGGCTCGGTGGCTCAGCCTATAATTCCACACCTTGGGAGGCTGAGGGGAGTGGATTGCCTGAGCCCGCGGGTTCGAGACCCGCCTGGGCAACTTGGCGAGACCTCATCTCTACAATAAATCAAAAAAATTAGCCAGGCGTGGTAGCACGCGCCTGTAGTTCCAGCTACTCGGAAGGCTGAGGCGGAAGGATCGCCGGAGCCCAACAGGTTGAGGCTGCGGTGGCCGGGAGCGGCCACTGCACTCCATTCTGGGCAACAGAGTGAGACTACGGCTCAAAAAAAAAAAACACTTAAAAAACTCTACAGCATGTGTAAAGCTGAGGCCATGACTAGTAGTATCAAGGAGTAGTTTAGTAAATGGAAGAATGCACGTGGGAGAGGAATGGACACCATTTCAAAGGCAGACTTTATTTTGAGTCGGAGTCTCCCTCTGTCACTCAGGCTGGAGTGAAGTGGCACGGTCACAGCCACCGAGCTTGGACCTGCCAGGCTCACGCGATCCTTCCACCTCAGCTTTCCAAGTAGCTGGGACCACAGGTGTGCACCGACAGCCCAGCTAATTTTTTGATTTATTGTGGAGATGAGGTCTCTCCAAGTTGCCCTGGCTGGTCTCGAACCCCCGGGTTCAGGCAATCCTCTCCCCTCCAACTTTCTTTTTTTTTTTTGAGTTGGAGTCTCACTCTGTCGCCCAGACTGGAGTGCAGTGGCCTCTCCTGGCCACCGCAGCCTCGACCTGCTGGGCTCCAGCGATCCTTCCGCCTCAGCCTTCCAAGTAGCCGGAATTACAGGCGCATGCTACCACGCCCGGCTGATTTTTTGATTTATTGTAGAGATGAGGTCTCGCTGCCCAGGTGGGTCTCTGGGTCTTGAACCCGCGGGTTCAGGCAATCCACTCACCTCAGCCTCCCAAAAGTGTGGGATTACAGGCTGAGCCACAGAGCCTGGCTTCCAACTTTCAAAGTACTGAGATTATAGGCTTGAGCCATTCCACTGGTTCAAAGGCAGGCTTTTATAATGTTAATAAATCTATACTTGTGACCTTATTTTTCTTCTTAGGCAGTACTACACCTATTTCCAAAATTAACAAGACTAAAGATTAGGATGGAAGGGGAGGAACTGGAGGAGGATATGACAACAAAGCAGTTACTGTTACTACAAGAAGCCAGAGGAAATCAGCACAGCCAAAAAGACTTCCTATAATGTTACTTTAAGCTATTGTTAGTGACCTGCGCTGATAAACAAGGAATGAGACTGAAACTTGGAGTAATAATGAAAGAAAAGGTAGAACAAGGGACTGTATCAAACATGTTACAAACCAAGTGCTTTGCTTTTTTTTTTCTTTTTTTGAGTTGGAGTCTCACTCTTGTTGCCCAGGCAGGAGTGCAGTGGCACACTCACGACCACCACAGCCTCAACCTGCTGGCCTTAGGTGGTCCTTCCATCTCAGCCTTCAAAGTAGCTGGAACTACAGACACATGCCACCATGCCCGGCTAGTTTTTGTGATTTATTGTAGAGATGAGGTCTCACCAAGTTGCCTGGGCTGGTCTCAAACCTTAGGCTCAAGCAATCCTCTCCCCTTGGCCTCCTAAAGTGCTGGGATTACAGGCTGAGCCACCGTGCCCGGCCCCAGGTACTTTTCCTTCTCCTTTTTTTTTTTTTTTTTTGGAGCCAAGTGCTTATTTATCTTATTTAGTTCTTAGAGCATTACAGTAGGTTCAGTGACAAACTGAGTTTTTCACTCTTGCTAGAAGAATTACTGTAAGTGAAGATGGGCAAATACTGGATAAGTAATACTAGTAAGTAAAAGATCTGAATTTCAAATTATCTTAATATTTTCAGTGGGAACAGAGCTAATATATGATCCAGCAATCCCACTACTGGGCATGTATCCAAAGGAAGGAAAATCCGCTGGGCTCGGTGGCTCAGCCTGTAGTCCTGCGCCTTTGGGAGGCTGAGGTGAGTGGATTGCCTGAGCCCGCGGGGT